TCGTCCTAAATTTGTTTCAAGTGACTAGTGACATAAAAATAATAGTTAGCATGTTAGCCGTTAGCCTAGATACAGCCGGGGCGCATAGTAGCGTCAGACCTGTTAAAACGTAAGTGAACGGGCAACCTTCAAGTGCAAAGTTAGTCCACTAAACAAGCTTTTTTTCCACAAAGACCGCCTCATATCGTTAGGATAAATGTCAGAGAACATATAGAAAACAACATGTAAACGTGTTGTCTTACCTTACCGGTGTGCTGCCATGTTTGTTTACCATCTAGCTAAGGCTGCAACCGGTCCCATTCCTTGCAACAGAGGCATTCCTCTTCTGTGGGCACTGGGGCACAGCATTCACAGGTACACCACCAATCTCCAGAGCTACGCAGCCTTGCAGCAGCCATTCCTCCTCTCTCGTCCGCTCAGAGAGGCAGCTGCACCTCCAGCTGATAACATGATGTCATCGTGATGTCAGCCCTAAAAGGGTCTATAGAACACAACTTTTGCGTGGGAAGTGACGTACACCTCTTACAGGCCTCGTTTTGTGTGTACACAATGTTTTATAAGAGAACCCCAGGGCTCTGTGTAACCCAGCTGATTATTGGGATGGAATCATAATGGCTGCGTTTCCCAGTTAAGAACAATCTTAAGACTTAAGAGCACAGTTAAGAACGTCTTAGCTAAGAAGGGTCGCTAAGATACTAAGAATGTTTGCCACATGCGTTCTTAATGCCCTTCTCAGGGTCGCTCTAAAGATCGCTCTTTAAGAAGCTCTTAAAAGGAGCTGGACACTACCGCAGTGCTGAAACTAAATCAATGGATGTCAGGCACATCGATCAGCCACCACTTCATCAGCCATAAGTCACACACAGCGCTGCTACCTAACGCACTAATTCCCTGCTGCGTGTGTGTGTGTGTTCTAATAATTCTAATGAAAAACTAAGACATAAATATTTGTTAATGAATTATTTTCATGATGAAAACAAGACTACGACTAAATGAGAAGTAGTCTTGGTAAGAGAATCATGAGGAGATGATTATGTTTAAACAAAAATATGGAAGATGGACGAGAGGACAAATGAACTTAAGGACCTCCATTGTGTCCTGACCACACTGTGTCCTACTTGCATTCATCAGCGCTGTGTCTCTGGTAACGATCATCTTAATGTGACCAGTTCACGGAAGGACAAAACTGACAGATTTATGGACTATATCAATCTACACTGAGAATCAGACAGGACGCCAGGTATAAGCTGGCAACCCCTTTATGTAGAGTAGCGGGTGGAGCGTCCCTTGATGAGGTTCCAGCTGAGCTCAGTTACACCTGTCAGTTGCCTGATATCTGAATGTCGCAGGTTTGGAGGGTGGATCTGTTTCTGTTGTGGCCTGATGCATTTTTGGGTGTGGTAAACGATCTGATTTGTGCATGCAGATGTGGGATATGTGCGGACAAATTATGATAAATGATCGTCATGATGATTCATTTTATTTGTGTGCCTGATGTGCACAGCACATACAGGAACACACTTGTTATTCCTCATTCTTATCTTTCTTATTATTATTTTTCTTCAGATTCAGATTTCAGTGCGTAACTTGTGCCACAGCTCTGAGCGCACACAGGCTCTACATAAAACATAGATTCAAGATTCAATATGCACAGTAAGGACACGCGTTTCCCTGCAGAATGAAATTCGTTCTTTTCTGTCACCAGTTAATGCTCAACAATATAAATCTGAAGTATGAAATAGATCAAAATATATACGCTGCGCACTGTTTTAACATCTCCTTGCTTAGTGTAACATTAATGTGCCTGACGCGGCTGGATCTGTGAACGTTTGGTCGCTAAGAAGACTGTTAAGAGTGGGTCAGCTCCATCTTACAACTCCTTCTTAGTGAAAGATCTTCTTAACTGGATCTGGGAAACGCGGCCAGTGTCAGTTGTGAATATAACTCTTTATAGGAAACCTGATATCACCATATTTTCCTGATGATATGATGTATATATCATACCCTCTATACACAGTAGCTGCTCCTGTACACTGTTTAACCTACAGCCTGAGTTCTCCACCCGTGAAGCGAGCCGCCGTCTGTCAGCACTTTAAAGGAACACGTGTAAATACCTGGGACGTCGGTGTGTTCATTTCCAATAAATCTGAATCCTCTGCGGTCCCTCAGCAGCAGAGCTGAAGTTACACCTGAAAAGCGACAGCAGACAGTGAAGCAGATAAAGACAGATAGGGTATAAAAAGAGTGAGAGTGATGTCGCCGAGCATGGCGTCCCTCGTGCACGCCGCTGTCAGTCTGTCTTTTGAATGGCAGCACATGAATATAGCTATCATTTCTCTGTGAGCTCTGCTGAGCAGACAGTTTACAGGGAACAGACCTGCAGAGGCGTTCAGTGTCAGCACGCCATGATATGATAATGATTCACCCGCACACATTAATGATCACTGTATCAGCCTCGTGCACATGGATGCATGTTTGTGCACGTGTGTTTGAGAGGAAATGATAATGATGGCTCCTCTCTCTGCTCGCCATTATTTACCGTCACTGAAAAGAGTTTTCTTCCTTCCAGTGGAGCGATAAGATCTGATTGGCTCTCCCACCCAGGTACCGGGAGGAGATATGCTAATGAAGCGCTGACAGAGAGGCCGATGGAAGACGGAGATAAATGATGCTGAGTGTGTGTGTGTGAGTGTGTGTGTGTTTGTTTACGCTGACGCTACTGCTCTGCATCTCAATGACGGTGAAGCCTCATTTAACAGTTTGTCGTCCTTCCCTGAGACAATCACAGGAAACTGTGACAGCAGACCACTTCCTGTGTGACGAGCTGCGAGGGCCGGGCGATATGACAAAAAATATCATCACGATAATTTTCCCTGTATTGATCCATATCGATATTTAACATCATTTATAATCTGATAGTGCTGCGAGTTTCAAAAGTATTTCCTGCCTGGGCGCTCGTACCTGCAGCTTCACACTTCATATCTTGAACCCATCTTTCTCCACGGGGCTCATGGGCGTCATGTGTTTGGTTAGAAAGTGACACTGCGTCTGATATCTCTGCTCCTGTTTGAACACTTCTCATGCGGGCTACTACTGATTGGTGTTTTGGTGCCGGCAATCTAGCCCCGCCCACAGCAGCAGACGTGCTCAGCCACTGAACACTTGTTGGTGGACTCACTGCAGACTGGGCAGATTTTCATGTTCTCAGTGGCGTCGCTGAGACGCCAGCTTTTCAGGTGATGGAACAGGTGTATTGTGTTTCCCGTCCTGGTTGGCACTGCACCGTCTTTGTGCGCCGTCACCTTTCAAGTGGCCAAACTACTTCCAAGTTACTGACAATCAGAGATCTCCGCCTTCTGATAGTCTGGGGACACTCCTTTCTAAAGTGTGTTTAACACACCGGAGAAAATGGCCGGCAACAAAGCAACGACTCTTGCATTTTTGAAAAGGACACGCCCTCCCGGAAATGTGTGCTCCCCCTTTTCTCGTCAGCAAGGAAACAAACACACAGAGAGCTTGAAAATGGATGCCGAGAGATTTAACTCCGTTTTATCAAACGTGTGCTCAGTCCACAGGATTGTGGAAATGAAGGACTTACAGCGACTTTGTTTAAAACTTTTAACACAGTGGGACTATGTTTACGAGCACGAGAGTTCAGCGAGCCACCGAAGGACCGCCCTGCAGATTTACTATTGGTTCTGCAACGTAGGGAGTTTTTTAAACTCTGAAATTGTATCCGCCCATCTAAACACAAAATCAGGGAGAAAGTCATCAGTCTTTAGTTAAGCAAAGTGTCTAAAGACTGACTTGTGAGTCTAGACATTGTGTGACCTTTTTTATCCACAGTTTTGTCCTTTTTGAGGGAAACACGAGCTCTGAGACTGAGTGACAGCTGTCTGTTAACTTATGTTGCGTGACACGCTGGTTGGATCTGTCTCAGTCTGTCCAGTAATGATGACTATAGTTCATCGTCGTCATCGACATACATTTTATTGCGACCCCCATTTGGAGATCGTTTTATCGCCCAGCCTGAAGAGCTGCTGGTTTCCTGTTTCTGGATTCACATTTTCAATGACACCCTCAATGTTTAGATATGCAGGACTCTCCTTGATCACGTGTTCGTCACACAGGTTTATGTTTGAATCATTTCAGCTTCATGTTTGAGATCAGAGCTTCGCTGCCATATTTATGAAATCATTTAAAATGAACTGGGAGTCAGGGCTGATTTAAGACACACTGTAATTAATTCTGTTTTTTCCACATTATCATCTTCAGCTTGCCGTTAGTGTTGTGTTCAGCCTGGACACAAATAAAACAATTTGCAGGTGAACCACAGGTAACGTCAAAGTAAAGACGCATGAATTCCCGCTGAGTGGCTTAATGAACATAATGTACGCAACACAAATGACGCGACATATACGGTGCAAATTAAGCAAGTTGCGCAATTTCAGGTCGAATGCTTGTTCATGAGAAGAGTTGAAAAATCTGAACTTCAGCGACCAATTCACGCTGTGACAGCCAATCAGCATTGAGATCCCACAGGGACATATGACGCCGAGGACGTACTGACGGAAGTTCATTCATCAATTCATCAATTTCACACACGTATGAAACGGGTTATTCGCACATCAGACGCAAATCAAGATAAAATATTCTAGTGTTCAAACTAGTGCGAGTAACGCAGCGCCAACATTTGCGTTGCATTTGGTGTGAACACAAAATTAGCACGATTTGAAGTTCACTGATCAGCTGTTTATCACTGATCAGCTGTTTATCACTGATCAGCTGTTTATCACTGATCAGCTGTTTATCACTGAAATGCTCCTCAGGAGTTGTAGTTGACTTTTCTCCTTCAGTTTTTCTGCCCACAGGATTCTTGTATCTTTTATTATTTTTTGTTTGTTTGTTTGTTTGTTTGTTTGTTTGTGGTTAATGTGTGGTTGGATTTAGACACAAAACCTCTTGGTTCAGGTCAGGCAAAGATCATGTTTTGACTTAGAATATCTGCATTTCATTGCACTATGCCGGCAGGAAACACAGTAATGTCTCAGTAAAAAAACACAACCTGCTTCTCTCGGTGAAAAAACAGCAACAGGTTGCAAAAACCACGGATGTGTGCTGTCTGAAAAGCACACTCCTCCTAGGTGTCACACCATCCACCATGCTCTCCACCTCCTGACAACAGAGTCGGCTCAGACACTACGTCACTTTAGAAACATTGCAGTGATATCTATGAAACATACAATGTGACGTATTTTTGATTTGCAGAAACGTACAATGTGACTGAGCGGGCTGCTGCCTTTGTTTGTTTTCATACAGCTTGAGCTAAAGTTGGATGGTTATATTCGAAGACTATTGTTTGACCTTTTATATATTAAAAAAAATCGATTCTTATCAGTGTGTGATGATACCATATTGCCACACAAAAATATTGTGATACTATGCCGTATCGATTTTTCGCTCCACCCTCAAAGTTTTACACTTATTATTTCTACTTCTCTCTATAATTCTTTAATGCTCCTGACTGAAACACATTCTGGGATTATAATGTGGAATCACAAATATATTCCTTTTCATGAAGCAGACCTAACAACCCTGGCTGTGAGTGGACAGATGATGGGGAATATAAAGTCATGGGCAGTGACTGTGTTTCTGATGCTAAGTGTTTGTTTTACAGGACGGAGGCCAGAAGTGTGTCCCCTCCGATGAGTTTGAGTGTGAGGAGGTGAGGAACTCTGATTACACACCTCAGTGGGCTCTGACATTATTAAAAACTAATGATAAAAGTCACAGGTTTTTTAAAATGGCATGCATTCATAACGTAACACACACACACACAGATATATTTGTACATCCTTCCATGTCTGTTTTGGGTGGCGTACAAATGCCACAAAAAACTCAGGAGATAGAAGGTTGTAAAAATAAAAATAAAAATAAAAAAGAATAGCATGTCCAAAAAATTGCCCAAACATTTTTATAATTTAACAATGTCATAAAAATGTCAAGGTTTACTATATGTATACATATGTATATAACGAACGTCCTGAAAAAAGTTATAGTTTAGTATTTCTTTAGATAATGCAATAAAAACATCATAATTAATATGTCATAAAAAGTGCCATAAAATGTCATAGATTTGTGTATTGTGTAAAATGCCATAAAAATGTCATAGTATAATATGTCAGGAAAAAAATCCATAAAAATGCCATAGATTTGAACGTTAAACAAGAATGCCATGAAATCATCATACTTTATTATGGCAAAAAATATACTACATGAAAAAAGGCTGTACAACTTTAATAGTATAGTGTGCCGACTTAAATGCAAGAAAAATGTCATAGTATACTATATTAAAAAATGTGCCATAAAAAAATTTCATTGAATAGTATGTCGAAAAAATGAAAAAATTATTTTAAAAAGTTGTAGTACAGTATGCCATCTGAAATCCTGAAAAAAATGTCACAGTATAACATGTTGAACAAAATCATGAAATATTGTCAAAGTATAGCATGTCCACCAAAATAATGAAAAAAAAAAGTCAAATGTCATCCAAAATCATGAAAAAAAGTCATAGTAAAGCATGTCGTCCGAAATCATGAAAAAAAAGTCATAGTATAGCATGTCGTCCAAAATCATGAAAAAAGTCACAGTATAGTATGTCGTCCAAAGTTATTAAAAAAATGTCACAGTATAGTATGTCGTCCGGAAGCATGAAAAAAAAGTCATAGTATAGCATGTCGTCCAAAGTTATTAAAAAAATGTCACAGTATAGTATGTCGTCCG